ACGCGCCAGGCCTGGAGCAAGGGCCCGGCCCGGCCCGGCCGGGGGCTGGCGCAGCGCCTCTCGGCTTCGCACGCGCGCCCGGCGCCCCTCGCGGCGGCAAGCCGCAGCCCACCGCGAGCTGCGAGGGCGCTGCGCACAGGCGGCCGCGGGGCCAAAGGCGGGCGGCGCCTTCGCGTGGCGCTGAGCGACTCGGCGCGGCCAGCGGAGCCCGGGGGGCCGTTTTGCACCGAGGGAAGAAGGCGCGCACGCCGCCTTCTCCCGGCTCTTCTCCCCGCGCCCCTCCTGATTCCTTCGCTCCGCTTCCTTCCAGGAGATGGGCAGCCCCAGCCTCCTCTTCCTGCTCCCTTTGGTGGCCGGCTTGGACTTCAGCTACCACCACACGGAGGAATTGGAAACTTTCCTGAAGGACGTGCACCGGAATTACTCGTCCATCACTCACTTGTACAGCATTGGCAAGTCCGTGAAAGGTAGGGCTGGTCTCCGTGCGCTCCCTCGCGCGGCGCGTCCGCGGAGCAGAGCGCCGGGATCCGGCAGAGGGACGCACCGCAGCCGCGCAGCCGCGCACCGGCGCCAGGCGCGCTCTGATGGAAGGAAATGTCACCGAACCAGCGGGACTTGGGTGCTTCCCGGCGCCTCCGAGACCTACACACTGAAAGGCGCCCCGTTCTGATGAATGCATGGGCTGAGGCAGGAAAAAAGACCGCAGCCGTGGTGGGAAAGGAGAGCTGAAGAGCTGGAGATTACAACTCCGCCATAAAATTCTGTGAATGGAGCAGGGCGACAGCGCAATAAAAGCCAGTTGCACACGGCTTTTATTATGCAAACACCCTGTCTCATCTGCACAACTTTCCAGCTGGTTCAGCTCTGGCACTTGGGGCATATTTTCTCACCATGTCTTTTTTCTTTCCACACACACAAAATCTCTTGCACAAAAGCTGCACTGTGTCTTTTCAGTGGTAGCACTAGGAGCTGATCCCCTGGAAGCACCCTTACTTCCTCCTCATAGCTGCTGCAATTTAGAGGAAGTTAGCCAAGCCGAAGCCCAGCTGAACTCAATAGTGCTATTTTCAGCGCTCTCTGGATCAGAACCAATTTCTTTCGAATTGATAGAAAAGTTCTATATAAACTTAACATAGCATGCTCGCTTACCTCTTACTTAGCCATCCAGGGGGATCACCTGCTGTTTCACAAAATCACTCTTCTTGTCATTCTTTGTACTGTCTGTTTTTATCATCCGTTTTTAGCTGTTTTAAATGTTTTTCTTGATTTTTATGATATTTTATTGTATTTTTACCATTTGTTTTGATGGATTGTGTAAACTGCCCAGAGAGCTTTGGCTGTGGGGCAGCATAGAAATGAAATAATAGCTTTCCTGCACATTTGTTGCAGGGGAAATAAAATTTCCTGAATGCTGAAAATATCTATTTCTTAGCTACAAGGTATTAATTTATTCCACCAGTGAGGATGTTTACTGCTGTTTGAGATGCTAGGCAGAACTGAGTGTCAGAAGCTTTACTGACTTAAGCCCATGATATCATTGCAGGCAGGCATCACCTTCCCTTCACAACACATTTGTTGAACTTAAAAAAAAAAAAAAAGAATGGATTAACTACAGACAGGCATGCTTAGAAGCAAGTGACTTCTTACAATCCCATTTGAATGTGGAAAAACTTCTGAATGGTTTTGAGGGAAGGCCTCTAGATAGCACCTCTAGGACATTAGCGTCAGGTGTCCTCAGCTGAAACACCAGAACCAGACATGACAATGGTATAGGGAAAACTTTGCAAGACACAGCAAGTCTAGAGGAGCAGGCAGAGCCAGGAATAGGCAAGGGCCAGATACTAAAAAGGCATGGCAGAACCAGAGGCAAAGGCAGAATCAGGAATAAGCCAGCGTAAGGTACCTGGCAAGGCACTGCAGGCAGAGACAGAGTTGGGAACAGTCAAGACACAGGTAAAGGCACTGCAGGACTGGAGACAGTGGCCATATCAGGAACCCAAAGCAGCCACCACAAAGACTCATATTATTATAGCACAGCTGGGCAGGGCTGAGATGCCTTTGCTAGAACCCAGCTGATCTGCATGATTGCATTGGTCCTAATCCTGCAAACACTTATACATTCTGTGTCAGTCCTATAAATACTTGCAAGGTGGACAACGATGCCTTCTCTAGCACACCACCAGGTATCACTCTAAAAATCCTGACAGTGAGGGGTGTACATGCTGAAGACCACTGTTCCACCGCAGGAGCAGCCTACCTAAAGCATGCATCTTTTACTGAATTAATGTTGCACTTATTATTTTCGAGTAAATGTGTGTTGGACCAGCAAGGAGATGCATAAGGATCAAACCATACTTTGCATTGGGAGATCCAGAACTTATTTACCAATGTGTGTTTGTTTCATTTATTTATTATTATTTATTTAGTACTCTTCTAATCTTCCCAATAACTAATGGTCTCTGGATAGTTTTAACTGAAATGGAGCTGTAGAAGACACCTCTGTTAGCAACCTCTACTGCAGCACCAGTAGCATTTGCTGGAGCAATCGGTTCCCCCAGAAAATCCATTTCTCCCACGTACGTTGTTGGAGTTGCGCTAGTAGCCGCTTACGCGGGTGCTGTGCCGATGGTATACGTGGAGCAGCAGCACTGGATCTTGCCCCTGGTTTTGAATAACTTAAAAGTAGGGTCCACTGATTTCAGATGTGATGTACATTGAGGGGTCTCTCTTAGTCTGAGATGACTTGGTGGCAGATAACAACAGCAACAACATACCCTGAGGATTCTGAAGTGCTGGTTAATGGTGACGCGGATCCTTCTACTTGCTGTTTCACGCCTGTTGAGGTCCTGGTAGCACACACACAGAAATACCATCTTGCGTTCACTGTAGGATTAGACCAGGGTCGTTACGTATTTGTTCGAAGGCATAAGGCTCCAAGGGTGTACTGGGAGGAGGCTGGGTGTGTCTGCCCTGCCCTCCGAGTCTACAAGCCACACTTCAGATCTTGCCATGTTGAACATACAAGGTCGGAAAGGAAGTTCTAGTTACATACAGATAAACTCTCTTGGATAAACAGTTTATCTCACTCTTGGTAGTGGCCCCCGATAAAGCAACAATTCACAAATAAAAGGCTAACATTGTAAACTGGAATTCTTTCAAGCATGGGTATCTATCAATTTGTGTTTATATAGCAAGCATGGCTTAGGTTATCAAACAGAGTAAGTATTGTGTTTACTATATCCTAGTGACACATTAACTACAATATGTTTTCTTCCACAGTGAAAATGCATAGATAATAAATGCCTATTTGGTGATTTTTAAACAACCTAATTCATCCTCAAATTATTGTTCATTGTCAAGATTGCAGCCAAAACATGGAATTTTAGAACACACTTTAATTAATTTTCTTGGCAAAAACCTGCAATATGCTTTGCCGGACAGAAGTGCTGTTCAGCTTCTGTAAAGTATATACTACAGGCCTTTGCTAAACTAACATTCTTCCAATTTGTGGATTAATGTATTTGCTTATACATGTCAGCTCAAGGAGAGGAGGGATTAGGAGTAACCCTAAACTTGCCCTTAGTGTTATAAAGTTGCACATCTCAGATGCTAGTGTCAACTGTAGCTGAACCTTTAAAAAGGAGGACTAAACTCTGCACTGTGAAAATGTCCCCTGTTTAATGAGCCAAGAACTAGAGGAGAATGCCTGTGTTTTTCTAAGAGTCCTGGTGACAGGTCATTGAGAGATTTGGTACTTCTGCTAAAATGAAACAGCAATTGTGGAGTGGTTACAGCTTATTGTCATGTTTCTGCACGAAAGGCTTCCCAGTGAAGAAGCTGTAAATCAGTAACTCTCCTGCAAATTTACAGTGGATCAGCGAGATCACATTGTCCCCTTGCCATTCATTGCATAACTTCAATCAAGAGACTAGACTGGTTAGCCTACCCTAAACAACTTGCACATTCTGCCTAGGCCCTGGGAAGGAGAAAGATGGTGTAATCAAGATTTGATGGGCAAGCACTTCAGGCCTCCATCTGAAGGCATCAAGCAAACATTATTTTAAGAAAACACTGATTTGCCTCTATCATGCCTGCGCTTAGACCAATGATTTAAAAAATCAAGTTAGCTAATGCAATTGAATTATAAGATGCTGTACTATTATCAATATAATGGGACAGTCTAAGCTTAAAGCAGAGCTACTTCAGAAAGGATTGACCCCAGTGATATGGGATGGATAATTTTCTGACACTGTATTTTTCCATAGAAATTTTTCCACACTATATGCATCCATAGCTGTCTGGGCCTCTGCACTTCAGTCACCCATGTGAGGTGGAATAAATATGGGATAGAGACTTCTATAAGTTTTTCTTCCTAGGCAAACATTGACAAGCCCTAATGATTCATTGCCCACAGAGGAACTGAAAAATAAGGTATGACAGCCTGCGCTTACTGTGTGTTTCACTTAAGATGAGCCATGCCGGATCAAACCAAGGGTGCATCTAGTCCAGCATCCTGTTGACGGAGTGGCCAGGCATTTGTCCATGGGATTCCAAAAGCAGGGCCTGAGCGCAACACATCCTCTTGCCCAGGTTCCCCATCCTGTGCCCACAGACTCACCTGTACCCATTGCTTGTTCTGGACCAGAGTTTTCTCAGCTTGAAATGGAACTGATAAGCAGTGTAGAGAGTGAGTGAAGCTGAAGATGCTACACTAACAAATAAATTCATCTGCTTGGGCAACAGAGAAAAGAGATTAAGGCAAGGAGAATAGGAAAGGAAACAGAAATGCATCCATTCTGCAAAGCCATACATTTACAGATGTAAGGGATCAAGAGTGCGTGTACTTAATTTCTTATTACAGTGGCATATGTAAAGAGATGCAACAGCAACAGTGTATTAATACACACATGACCATTCATTATTTATTTATTCAAAGCTTTTATATACTGCCCACCAGAAGCATCTCAGGATCATTTTACAATAAAAGGAACACAAAATAAAATAGAATATAACATTTAAATTGTATTATATTTATAACATTTGAACAATCTTGTGTGTTCAGGGGCTGGGGAGCTACCAGCCCCCATGTGGGGGGATGTCCTGCATTCACCACTCCTATATGTATGCATTATGGGCATCTGGATCCAGGTATCAGTGGGTGAAGGAACCTTGTTTGGGGCACCCCTTTCCATTAATCCTCCATGCTCAGTGGAGTTTGGACTGAACTGATTCACTGGGAGATACGGGCTCCAGAAAAGGCCCTAGGAAGGAAGATTCTTTAACCTATCTTTAACAGACCTCTGTTATCTTAGTCTAGACATGGTTTAAGAAGTCGGATATACTTTGAAGATTACTCAGCTTAATTTAGTACTTTGAGGTTAAAATCTATAGCTTTCTACTGCCTATAAATATTAGTTATACTTATTTTGCAAGAGAAAGAGAACATTCTTTTTCCGGCCCTTACATCGATTCAGGCAACAATTACAATCTGACCTTGATAACTTTTGAAGAGTCCTATGACTCTGCTACATACAAGGTCTGCCTGGCTGATTAACTCTTTCAACATGGGACATCTTTAGAGTTTCTCCTTGTTACTGCTGGGTTTACATGCGTGATTCACCACATCTTATTACTGGTTAGTAGACATCATGCTTGGAAATGTCTCAAGAGTTCCTCATATATCATCTTGTGGTGGCATGTAATTACAAGGAAGAAAGCTGTGATCCTCAGTATATTTTGTTTCATTTTTATGAGATATATGTTCTCGTATTTAGCATTGGCGTGCTGGGTGAATTTTTATATTACCAGTGTTGATTATGAAACATCATCACAAGCTGATCCTTCCTTATTATCCTAATATTTTCAACAAAGTTCATGTTGATGCCTATAGTTAAATGAGTTGGTCCGTGAAGTGGTGGTGATGAAGCAACATTTGCAGTAGTGCAGTACATCGATTAGGATCAACCAAATGCTACAAAAGATGGAGCAAGGTCTTTCTGAATTCTTTCATGTTCTTCAGAACTCTTCCTTAGACTGCATCTTAAACAAAATAGAGGGAGGTGAGAAAGGATGCTTGAATGGCATTAAAGTCATTAAGCCTTCTTCTTTCTGCTGATTTTGTTAGTGGTTAAAAATACGCACAGATCTCAGTCCATGAAGACTCCCTCAACTTGGTCTACTCCTGTCACTGGATCAGAAGTGGAGAGGAATCCACTGAACTGAAATGAGCTGGATTTCCCTATTTTGGCACATGTCTGCCTACAGTTCCCAGCCCATCAACAAAGCATGGGTTTTCTTCATAAGTTGTCTGTGGTTAAGAAACCATGGTTTTGTTAGTGTGGCTAGGTTCACACAACACAACAACCCATGATTCAACAACCTACAATTCAGCTGCAACACATACTCAATCGATACAAATTTATTCAGCCTCTCTATTTTTGCTTTGTTTTCTTTCTTGCCTTGTGACACCTTGGGCTATTTTTGGGTGAGATATTTTAACCACATTAAGTCAGAAATGAAAGGATAAAAACAGAACTAAAATGAAAGCCCAACCTTAACACAGCACCTAATGTGTCATTAGAAAACACATTTGTTTAAAAAAGAATAGGCATGGAGGGGGATTTCACATGGATCGTGGCACGTGGGAGGGAGCTCCACTCCCAATGAAAATCATGGTGCTTGCCATAATTAGCCTTTGAAGCACAACTTTCCAAGGTTGAGAAGCACAATGGGAGAGAGGAGGGGTTACTTTTGCAGGTGTCATGGGTCTTCCATACCTGGCAGCCTTGGGGAAAATCAATGCCCACACGCACACACATGGCCGTGCCTCCCATTAAACCCTGGCATTCTTTCCAATGGCATGTTTCATATACTGTCTCGTTTAACCCTAAAGCAGCCTTTTCTGCCCCTGTGTCCTCCACAAGTCTTGGATTACAACTCCCAGCATTACGGACCATTGGCCATGCAGCTGGGATCAATGGGAGTTGAAATCCAAAACCCTGTGAGAGCAAAGGGGTAGGCAAGGCTGCCCTGAAACCATCTGGAGCACAATCCTCTGCATGTTTAGGCAGAAAGAAGTCCTGCAACCTGCTGGCTGGGGAAACCCGGGAGTTGTAGAACCTTTTTTCTGTCTAATCAGGAAAAAGATTGTGTGCTTAGTCACTCGTAATGTTCTCTTCCACTCTCCTGGCAAGCACCTATTATTAATATAAATGAAGTTTGCTTATTGGTATGCCTTCTGGGATTATTTGGATTTCAGGCCACTGTGTAGCACTCACAGAACCAATTCAGCCCTGTCCCTGTGGCCATCTCTATGTTAGTCTAAACTGCTTAATGCAAGAATTTCCTGGTTTTGGGTTAAATGTTCAATACATTTTGAAACAGGTATTATAGTGAGAACGATCAGACAGCAGATATGGCACGGTGGTGAGAGTGTTGGACGGGGACTTGGGAGATCTGGATTCTAGTCCCTTCTTGTCCATCTGACTGACTGGGTAACTCTGGCTGTCAGACTAACCTACTTCACAGGATTGTTGTGAGGATAAAATGGAGAAGAGAGGATGCCTAGATTAGCTGCCTTGGATTCCTTCCAGGAAAAAGGCAGGATGTAAAAATAATCTAATCAAATATCATTGGAAGTTCTGATGGCTAAGTTGATTTGTGGAAAGTTATCTTCATTGAGATTTAAGCAGTGGAAAGTTAATAATGTAACTTTTTAAATAGTTGAAAGGTTAGGGAAGTTGAAACATTCTGTGTTACACCAGCAAAACATTCTTACTGTATGAACAACTATCTATAGTTATTTTTGGATAGAACTTTTCTTTTTAAAAAATGCTAGATAGACTTTTTCTGTTTTCAGTGCTTTTTATACTGCCAGGAATGAAAACAAAGTTTGTTCTAATGTTTGTAAGTACATGGTGTTTAGGTTTCCCACTTCAGATCTTTTGAAATCAACAGCTAAGCATTGTATGAACTAAAACGACTTAACAGTGTGGCATTCAAGTGAACTCCAGATCCCAATACAAACCTTTAAACACATATACAAGTGACCCAGGGCACAATTCTATGGCTGCTAGATGCTGTCTAGACAGCCACACGAAAATTGGGAGCCCCCGCCCTGACCTTGAAAAAGCTCTCTGAGGCCGGAGTTCAGGCTTCGAATTCGGAGCCCCCTCCCACTGCCTTGGCCAGGCCTGCTGCAGCTCCAAGCGTGCTGCAAATGCAACAGTAGCCAAAGCAGGGGGCAGGGGGTAGGAAGGGGATGAGCAAGCCCCCCCCCCCCCGGTTGTAAGGAGTCCCAGTGCTGCTTCATAGCTCCTGGCAAGGAGGGGTAAACCACTTAGATGGCCAGATTGGGCTGTCTTAAGTATTTTGGAGAGGAAGGCAAGCATCTCCTTCGTTCCATCAGATGCTCATTATCTTCCAGGTTAAAAGAGTTGCTCATTGGATTATGCTGGGATACAACAGAGACAGGTTTCAAATGATTTAACTACATGTTTTGGTTTCCTCTTATTGCTTTTGCTTCTTTTGTGGCAGATTTTTTAAGTTTTAAAAATGTAACATTTTCTTTAAAGGTTTCTTAGTTTTAAGACTGCATAAAACTTTCTAAAGATTTTTAATGATACTGCTTACATTTCATTCTTAGATGTGTGTGTGTGTGTGTGTGTGAATTTGAGCTATACTCCTTTCCATAATTATGCATGCTTATATCCTCTTGACTTCACTGGGATTCTGGTGTGTATAACTGTGTGGTGAATTGTGTGGCTGTTATCAACCAGGATATTCTATTGATCTAATATCCACTATTCTGCAAACTGGAGGTGGTGGAAGGGTGGCCTGGGGAATAAATTAAGCCAAGGAAGTCATAGGAGTTTGTTCCTACCTTCCATTGTTTTATTTTGTATTATTTTACCATTGTGTATAAAAAACCATTTCTTTTCCACTTAAAGGTAGAGACCTGTGGGTTCTTGCTCTGGGAAGGTTTCCAACCCAACATAAGATTGGCATACCAGAGTTCAAGTATGTTGCTAATATGCATGGGGATGAGGTACGTCTACAAGTTCACTTGTTGTGGTTTCCTTTACAGCATTGTTTATCAGGTGCTTTGGAATCAGCCCAGTTTGTATACACATTGGGGAAAACCCTTTAATTAAAAAAAATGGAAAGAAAATGAGAGCCCTGTCTCATTTAAGTCTTGCCAACTTCAGTCCTGAAAGTGCTGGCATAGTTTTTGTTTCTTTAGGGAAGTAAAGTGTCGTGGGAGAAAGAGATCTTCTACATTCAGCAGGACTTCCATATCCACTGGCTCTGTTACCATGTTTCCACTTACCCGCAGTTGACCTCGGTCCCAAAGGAACATCATATTCAGACTCCTTATAGTGTCCTTTCTTGTTCCATGCCACCAAGTCATCTCTGACTTATGGCAACACGATGAATGAGGGCCCTCAAAAAGCCCCTGTCCTTGACCACCCTGCTCAGCCTTTACATATAGACTCAAGGCTGCGGCTTTCTTTCAGCAATCAGTGCATCTCATATTTGGCCTTCCTCTTCGTCTGCCTTCGATTTTCCCTAGCATTATTGTCATCCCCAGCGAGCCCTATCTTCTCATGATGTGTCTGAAGTACCACAGCCCCACTCCCATATTTTTTGCTTCCAGGGCAACTTCTGGCTTGATTTGAACTAGGAATGGCTTGTTTGTCTAGCTGTCAGTAGCCAGCAGTGTTTTCTCAGCGCCATTCACAGTCTGTGTAGCCTGGCTGCACAGTTATACCTACTGCTGCAAAAGGGATATAAATGCTAGGGAACAGCTTCATGGAGGAGGGTGCAGTGTGAGGAGGAACCACGCAGAAAGTGTAGTGACGATGGCAGGTCAGAGAGGAGGGAGGCTTGGGTAGAAATGCTTATTGTGCTGTTGGAGGCCAGCTGTGGGGGAGGCAAGTGCCAAAGGGGGTCCCAGAACTCAAACTACTTCTCAGGCTGTCAGAGATTGTGTGTAGGTTGGGGGGGGGGGGGGGGGTGGGGGGGGATAGCCATTTCTCCAGCTGACAGAGAGCAGCAGAGGTGGGAGCAAAGTTCAAAAGGTGAGCAAAAGCAGCTTCTTTGTTAGGCGGGGTGGGGAGATGAGCTGGTGAAGAAGCAGCGAGAGTTCATACTTCCTCTAGATAGCTGGCACACTGAAAGTGAGGGTGTGGGAAAAGGAACCGTGAGCAAGAGCTATTTTGGTGGTGGTCAGAGAGCGGCAGAGAAAAACGATGAGCAATGAGCATTTCTTGGGCAGGTGAACAAAGCATCATTGTGTCCACAGATAAAGTGAAAAACAAAAACAACCACCGATGGGAAAATGAGGTCTTGCTGGAAAAACTAGTACAGGCTGTTATCAATCTGCCAAAAAGTGGGGGAAAAATGTGAAATATTTCTGTTGTGAATCAGCAAGGTGAGTCAAATGTAGATTTACTCAGTAGACCAATAGTGAGGGTGCAAAGGACTGTGGAAGGGGAGTTTTCCTACAGGGGCTTCTGGGATTCATGTCAGGAGTGGGAAGGAGAATGAGTTGGGAGAGGTCACAGCAAGCTTTGGAGAAGGTGTTCCTCTGTCAACACCATCATGGGTTATTCAGCAAATAACCTACCATGGCTTATTCTCGGGGTGGCTTAGCATGAACATGAAAGTGAACAGGAGAGTTTGTTACTAGCAGTGAATCTGAGGTGAATGTGAAATGATTGATTTGTTTGTGGCATCTCTTCGTTCTAGTCTTTTCTAAGTGTGCTGGACTGTGAGCATGAATTACAGCCAGATTATACAGAAATAATGTTAATGATCTCCATATTGCATTATACATGCATTTGAGCAACAATGTTTTTGTTACAGAGGAAAAAATGTTTATCCCACTTAATGCTTTTGCCTTGTCAGGATCCACTGATATTTTTTGATCCATTTGAATATTCATTTTAAAAGGTATTTGTTCTATAAAAGAATGGTTATAGATGAAGTGCACCTTTTTTTAATCCAATGAGAATTGTTTACAGAACATTACAACCATCACAAATAAATTTGGTAAAGCTAATACTCTGGGCATGGATATAAAGATTGTTTGACAAATGTTTACATGATTCTTAGTGTCAGGAGAAAGAACTGAGTGGTAGATTCTAACATGTACTGAGCACTCTGGTGTGTATATGTTTGGTGAGAAATATTTGGGTGAAAAATAACTTTAATATGTCCAGAAAAAAGGAAACAATTTATACATTGAGCATTTTAGCTGCACAATAGGGTCTTTCTCTCTGTCCTAGATCACTCTCAAGTTTCAATCTAAATTCAAATTACCTGACTGAAGTAATGCATTCTACAGGTAGAAAAAGCATAATAGTTACTCTTAATGCTGGAAGGGGACGTAGACTATTTTGCACATGTACACAGTGGTCAGAGAAATACTCTGCATACATTGGGATTCTCCTGCAAGGAATGTGACAACAGAGAAGAAGATGCAGGCAAAGGAATTGGGACTAGATTACCAAGATGGATAAGCCATGGAAACAGTACTGAGAGTAGAACTAGACATTCAAACCATCAATATACAGTATGGTGTGAATTATTAAAGCAATTAAATTATCACTGGGAGTCCTGAAAAGCCCTTTTATAGTTTTGGGCCTCCTCCAGCCCATGGCCATTATCCAACAAATGATTAAAACAAGCTCTGACAGAGTTCTCCCAATGTCTGCTGTGGAACAGCTTTGTATTCACGCTTTGTTTTCATAGCCTACAGCAAGACTCGATTACATACAAGACTTGTTGGACTTTAGCTAATCTCCACACCCAGAGATTTCTGGATTGGAGCAATGCATGTCTGCACTGGACATTTTATTCATTTTAAGGAGAGGATCCATGTTAATTGAAACAAGTGAGAGATCTTCAAGTGTGTAGGAGTCTGGTGTACGCGCACATCAAATGCGCACAGACTGCTCCATCATAGTGGATGTCTACCTGTTTTACAGTCTTTCTCTGCAATGCTGAGGACTGGAATCAGGATCTTTAAGAAAATCTAGATGCTAAATAGCAGGGTGCTTTCATTCATTCTATTGTACCAGCAAGATCAACTGCCAGCGCAACAGAAGGCACCTAGAACAACCCTAGAAATGAGCAGAACCCTAGAAATTTAGTGTTGCCTTGTTTAAAAAAATCCAGCATGTTTGGCGTAGTACACAACCAGCTGCATGAACCCCATTACAGGGATGCTTCCAGATAAAGCTTTGATTGTGCAGTCACCTTGCCTCAGTGACATAACTTCGCAAGGAAGTCCAGGCAGCACAATCTCCCATCGAAAAGCTCTGTTGCTTTCCCAGTGGTTCTTCTATCTACTTTGTTCTACTTTGTACAAAGGATCCATTAAGAAGGGGAAGGCAGAATAGCTGCACAATGCCTTTTCGACATCTGGAAGCTCCCCTGGGACTCAAGGAAATATGACAGGCTGCAGAACAATGATATGGGGGGGGGCGCAAGTGAGGCAAATGCCAAGCTTTGGTGGCTTGCTTCGAGTGAGGAGAAAAGGGTTCTTTCTGCACAGAGTAGGAAATAGTTTACAGGCAGCCGAGAGTGTGAGTATTTTGGCTGGCTAGCTTTCCAAAAAGGGCTGAGGAGGTAAATTTATAGAGGCAGATGCCACAGTAATTCAACAACAACCTACCCTTCAAGAATGTCCTATTTTAACAAGTGGCTTGGGGAATGCCACTTTGTTCTCTTACAAGAAGCATCTGAAGGGTTTCTCTCTTCCATTCAGTCTTGAAAAAGGGAGCCCCAGTATGAAAATGGGGTATTTAGTTGTGTACTCCAGTCAGTCAGCTTTAATCTGATTTTTTTAAACACCTCCCCCCTTGGTATTCTCTTTAGCTCTTTCTCGACAGCGGCACAGCAATACTATTGTCCCAGATTGTTGTTGACAGTGGGCTCTACCTTGCTGACAAAGATCCATTCTTTATAGCAGCAGCTGACAGAGCCAGTGTGAGCATAGCCTTTGAAGACCGCTTATCACCCCTTCTTGAAGAAAACAACCACTGCAAACCATCTGGGAAGGGCTTGCCTCTCTCCTGAGAGTTAGTTAATTATTACTGTTTCGTACTATTAAAAGTGTTTTCAGAATATGATTTTTATCCCTTTCTTTTTGCTTTTTCGATAGGTACGTATGTGAAAAGGTAACGTGCAAAGCAAGTTGAACAGTGACACAGTTGCAGGAAACTCTTTCATGTTCTTGGCTTCCAGTCCTTTTTTGTGGTAGAATTCAGATTTAAGCTAGATAATGCACTGCCTGCTGTAGCCACTCTGTTTTAACCTGGGAGTGGGGATTAACATTCCCTCTGGGAGACTCCTTCTTGTGGGTTCCCAGGAAAAAGATTTCTGATAGGCTGTCACAAGTCAGGACGTACCTTCTCATACATCCTAGGCCAGTGATGGCAAAACTTTTAGAGACCGAGTGCCCAAACTGCAACCCAAAACCCACATTTATTGCAAAGTGCCAATACTACAATAAAACCTGAAAACTAAGGTTTTAGTTTAGAAAAAACAACTCACAGCCAGTCCAAGCAAATGTATAAATATCCTTGGCAGTGCACTGACCGGCCATGTGAAGGCTTGGATGAGTCGTGGCTAATGAATCGTGGCTCATGATGTCATCCCTGGCACCGCTACTCCTGAGCATGTGTGCTGTTACCTGATGCTCAGCTGCTGGAGCGATGCTGGCGTGAATTGGCTCGTGTGCCAACACAGAGGGCTCTGCATGCCGGCTGTGGCACGTGTGCCATAAGTTCACCACCAGTGCCCTAACTCTACCCTGCTGCACTCCCCTAACACTAATCTAGGGGTAAAACACCCTTGAAAGGGGCGATTTTGGAAAAGCCTTCCTTGAGTAGCATTTTCTGCACTGCTCATCATTTCTGCCCGTTCTAAGCACATTCCAACCATCCAACTCATGCTAGGACTCCTCATTTTTGTAACCCTAAACTGCCCTGATTCCCAACCCTAACTGTAATATAGGGCTAAAGTTCCATAGAAAGGAGG